ATAACACCCTCCAACATATGTTCATGGTTAGTATACAACATATTTAACAATCTATAATTATTTTGATGAAACCATAGTTAACTACTGATTGCTATATTTTTTGACCAACTCAAAAGTTAGTAGAACGATTATATATCAAAGAGGAAAAGGATTAGATATTAAGAGCCATAAGATAGAGTCGGATGGGACTCCTATTACTCATAATAGAGAACTCATTCTCGATACTTAAAATACCATAATATTTACCATAGTTCAACATTTCATAGGTGATCCCTTTTTGTAGAAAGATAGGTTAGCTGAACTTTCAAATCTTAAATGCAGAGTACTCATTGATTTTAGGTGGTGTAAAGATACCTTCTTAACCAAAGTAATATTAAGGTATTTGCTGCAACGGGAACGGATTCTCCATTATGAGTAATAGGAGTCCCATCAAGCTCTACTTTTATGGCTCTTAATATTTAGTCCTTCTCTTCTTGTGATATATAATCATCCCGCTAATCTTTGAGTTGGCCAGAAAATCTGACAAGGAAGTTAAGTATGCTGTAAATAATATGTGCGGGGTGTGTCAAAAAAAGAGTCTCATATTGCTTGAGATTATAGGGGCTCAAACAAGTGGTCTTGAGTTATTAAATGGGGCAAGAGAAGGAGTGAGCTGACAATCATAATAGGCCACTAGAGGCAAATCCAACAATTTTTCCTTGTAAGAATGGCTGAACGCCCAAGAGGGGGGTGAATTGGGTGTTAGTTAAAATTAAAAACCTTTTCGCAATGTAATAAAATTCATAAGAAATTCTGAATATAAAAACAATGAATCGACATAAACATGATCACAGTAGTAAGATAGTTTGGCTGGAAATATAAAGAGGTAAGGGAAGAGAAGATGCAAACTGTGATTTATCCTGGTTCGGTCCTCACTGACCTACGTCCAGTCCCCAGGCTCCCCCTGAGATTTTCAATCCACTATCTCCCTCAAGTTTACACAGGTACTTGAGAACCACTACAACCACAAGTTTGATCCGGGCACTTGTGTCGCCACTTACAATCCTTAGACTAACCAGTCTATTCAACAACAACCTCTTATTGAGGTAAATACTCCCCCTTACACACCGTAAGGATACAATCTGATAATGATAAAGAAAATTGAATATTTCTTCTCTCAAAGAAGTGATAGATGAATCTTAAGCACGTTTGGGAAACTCTCCTCTCTATCTTATGAATACATATGTTTTAGTCTATGAAGTACAGAGACAGGGAGTTTTCTCTCGGAGCTCTAAATGAGAATATGTTGATTCGGCATTTTAGCATTTGATATTGTAAGCTCAGACTCTTCTCTTCTCTTTGTTTTGAATGCTCTTCTATTTATAGATGATGTTGGGTAGTTGACCGTTGAGTTTTTTCTTCCCGTTTGGCTTGAAGAATATGACCGTTGAAACTAGCCGTTGGAAGCTTCTGACGAACGTCGATTCTTCACATCATAAATTCGTTGTGGCTCTTTACCTGAAATAATGTTCCTCAGATCAAGTGATAAGTATCTAATAATCATAGAAACAATAAGTTGGAAAACATGGAATCAATCATCAGATATTCAGAAAGTAAGATGAACTTACTTGATCGATGTCTTGATCGATAAAGCTTTGATCGATTATATTATCGATTAATTACATGAAGAAAAGATATAGCAGATAGATGCAATTATCGAATAGATTATGGATCATATGATGATCGAACAAATGATCGATAAATGATGAAGCATGAATACAGTGACCCAAAAATGATTTATGCAAGAATAAACCTTTCCAAGTTATGTTTGCCTTCGTATCCTTTTAATAGAAAGTTATGTGTAAAAAGAAGGCTGAGAAAAGCTTTAAGGATAAAAAGATAAAGGATTTCGAAATCATCATGAAATGCTGTTATGGAATGAATTTGTACAATGATCGAACAAGTGATCGAATACTTGTTGATCGAACAGATTATCGATAATCCAAGTGTTACAGAAATGAAACTTCAGTCATTGATGATCGAACACATTATCGATAAATGGATGATGGATAAGATTGTCGATAAACAATGAGTAAGAATATATTCAGCGAAAAACACAGACTATGTGGATTAATCGAACAGGTGATCGATCAATGAATATTCGATCAGGTGATCGATAAAATGAAAAACAGAGATTTAATCCTGTAAGGTAAAGAAACTGATTATCGATCATGTTATGTGAAAACAGGAGTTTCAGGAAATCGGATGATCGATCATTTTATCAATAAATCAATGATCGATTAGGTGATCGAAAAAATGATTCAACATAAGTTAATACAGTGAAGATAATAATCGATCATTTGATTGATAAATGTTTGATCGATCAATTGATCGATCAAAGATTTTGAACGAATGGTTTTGACAGAGCACTATATCGAGTAAGAAGACATGTAATATTCGAACAAGTTATCGATAAAGGTCTGATCGATTAAGTGATCGATTATTTCCTGCAATATTTTATATTAAGCAGCTATACCAATGATCGATTAGTTGATCGATCAATCTAGCAAGTTATTGAGCAGACTAAATTATCTATCATGTGATCGATAAAACTTGACAGTTATCGATCAAGTGATCGATAAACATATTCATCTATAACGTTATCCAAAAGTCATTTATCCAACATGTTACTGATAAAACCTTAATAATATGTATGAAGATAAAAGAGAAGAATTGAGGAGATAGTACCAGTAACTCGATGAGTATGTAGTCGCTTGATCAGGCTCGAGTAACATATGATAATGGCTTTTCATTTCTTCATCTCTTCTAGAGCTTTTACTCAATAACATGTTTGAGTAGCATGTTGCTTGAGAACTTAATCATTCAGTGTAGAACTTCTGGTATTTGCCTCAATAAATTCGAAGTCTGATTCCAGCAAAACGAAGGTCAACTTTGAGTGATCATAACTCTTCCAATTCAGCTCCAAATTTTGCAAATAACCTATCCCCAGAAAGCTCTTTGAGTATACTTTCTAATGCAACAAGAATCACCCCAAAATTCGTTGTGGTTGCAAAGTTATCTTCATCACAATGACTAAAGGTCGGAATAAAGGCGTTAATCCTTACTGCAATCTTTCGAACAACATATCTCCCCCACATGAAACTCTTTGAAGGTGAATTTGGTGTCCATGAACCGTGTTCTGAGTCTAGTTTCATAGGAATCAAGTTTCACCTCAAACAGATTTGTGATTTGAGAGATATTGAAGAAATACCGAACCTATATCAGAGCTGAACGAAGAACAGAGCATAACAGAGTATGTGTTTTTATCGATAACTTGATCCATAAATGGATGATCGATCAAGTGATCGATAATTGCCCATGAAAATCACCTCTGAAGCTTATTTTCCATGTTTATATGAAGGGTGACTCAATATATGATGGTATAATTTCCCGGTTGTATATTTTAGCTTCCGAATGAGCCATCCAAACTTCTGATTGAGTATAGCAACATTTAACATCAAATCTATGAACTTGAATCTTGATATTTTCATTTGATCTTGCACGTTCTTCTTTTCTCAATCTCTCTTCTTCTTCTTCCTCTTGATCATTCTCCATAACTCAAAGTGCAACATAATAACTCCTTTCTTTTCTTGAGGAAACTACACAAGATAGTAAGTATGATAGTTAGTCAAAATATGAGATAAATAATTTATGTAAACTTTTTGCTCTATTATTTGACATCATCAAAACTAATCATATCTAACATTCCTCACCCTATGTAAGAGTCAAATGTGATACTAGGCACACTTTATAAGAAATATCCATCTAATTAATATGTCATTTTACCTATTGTTGGCAGAACATCTAAATCATCTAAATTCTCCAAAAATCTAGTGGATCTTCCAACTTCTCTATAATGTTGTGCAAATCCTACTGATGGCAACACATGTAAAGAAATGATAAATCCAAGTTGTGTCCAATGAATATTATCCTTAAAAGCTATTCCGCAACTATTATCAAAGCAAGAAGCGGCACTCCCAAAGATTAAATAGATTCTTTTTGTAAGAACAGGGTGAACATAATAGCAAAACATAGAAGAACTCAGTAAGGCAGAGCACTAAAAGAGGGAAGAGATTTGCTTAAAAGCTTGTAGTTGGGGCTACTGAGCTTCATTCTCATGCCCTTTTTATAAGCTACGGATTAAAATACCATTGGGCATATTTAAACACATTTAATGGCACTTAACTCATTAATTAATAGTCATAAACACAATTAAATAAGCAATTTTAAGTAGTCATTGAGTCATTTGATGACTACTTAAGATGAATAAAACCTTCAATTGTGAACATTGAAGAGATATAATTGTAATTAAAATGGCATATTAATTAGAAAGATATTTCCAATAAAAGTGCTAGTACCGCATTTGATTCACACATGAGGGGTGCCTCTGGTGGTCCATTGTGCATGTGAATTCACTCCTCTTTTTAGCCTATTTAGTAGCCTAAGATCACTTACTACATGCTTTGGACCCATACAATTTCAAGCAATGTGAAACTCTTTTGACATACCCACGCCTATTATTTACAAAAACTATTACTCATTTTAAAGCTCAAGATGTATATTATTATCATACCAAATTTCATAACCTAATTCAAATGTTTACTCTATATTTAAGCAAACACAAATCTAAAGCTTAACTAATCATACTAATAAACTATCATTATTTAACCATGCACTTAGCTATGTATTTAATGTGGCCCTTTGATTTGAACTTTTTAGTCGTCTTAGGTTAAGTCAAAAATAAAATCAAATTACGCGGTATAGGACAACTTGGATCATATCTCTCAAGAAGCCTTTTATTAATTTCTTAGTTAACTAAGTGAAAAAAGTATTGAAAATGAGGGGTTTGAATAATTGAGAACATAATAAAATAAATATAAACTATTTTTGTCTTTTTAATAAAATAGAGAATGAAAATTGAAAATTTTGGACTTAAAAGAATTGATGATGAGAATGCTTCTGTCCCTTCTGGGGCACCCAATAAAATTGGAACAATATAGAGAAGATTAGCATGGCCCCTATGTAAGGATGACATGCTCAAATCGAGAAAAAATGGGAGTTAAAAGTGTACTGAGTCAAAGTGCAACCCCAAATATGATTTGGATCAAGTCAACGTAACAATTGATTATTCTAAATGTTGGATAATAATCAATTATTAAGGCAACTTTGAAAACTAGTTGATATGCGATTTAAATTGATTTAATAAAACTTGTTTTGCTTAGTAAATGCTCATAGATACATCCACATGCAATACATTTTAATCATAAATCCAACAACATTCCAGATAAAATAATATCAATGAATGCAAAGGAAATATATATAAAAATTAAAATCTTAAGTAATACAACTCAATTCAAACTACAATTATCCTACTAACAAAAATTATAACATATAATCTCAGTCTCAATTCCAAATAGCAATATTCCTAACATAGGAAAAATCCAACAAGCTCAAGAAAAAATTAAATACTATCCTAATTGAAGCTCTAACCTCAAGCTACTCATCCATCTCTAAGAAGCATAATGGGACTAGCCTCTCATGGCTCCAGATAGGGGTGACAATATGGGCCAACTTGCATAGGTTAGGCGACGCTAGTTGAAAAGGCCCGTGTGATGACAGGTTGACTTTCAGCCAACCGTAACCCGCCATGGTAGGTTGACGCCAACCCGCTAACTATTATTTACTTTTCTTTAAAAAAATCTATCTCATTTCTATCACTTTTCACCGATTAATCATCTCCATTTCTCCATCCAACATTGTTGCCATGGCCATAGAAGTCTAAAAGCTTGGTAAAGCTAATTTTTCTATCATAAGAGGCTAAAAGCTCCATCCTAGGGTGATTAAAGATGCTAATCTAAGCTCCTAAGCTTATAGGAGAGTTTATTGTCTTAATTTCACTTTTCTCCCAAACCTTTGTACTTCATTTGATCTCTATGTTTATAAGATTTGTTTTGATGTATTTTGGATTGATGATTATATCTAGGTTTCTAGTATGATTTAGATTGTGATACTTGTGTTGGATCTAGCATTTCTAGTTAATTAATTGGATTATAGCACTTGTTTTTTTATTCAATTGATTAGCTCTTGTCTTCTCAAGTTTACTTGGCTTGCCAAGGTTTTAGGAGTCACTTGGATAAGAGAATTCCTTTTGCAATTCTAACTCAAGCTAAACACTTAATGCAAACCTAATGAACAAGTTAATTATAGGTTGCTAGGTTAAGTTGGAAGTTATTGTTGTTGGCAAAGGTGGCATCTTTGGCTCTTGTGTTGAGTTAAGCAATAATTCTAATCAAATGAACTAGGATAGCCAGCTAATTCCTTCATCTAGGCACATTTGTCATACCCTGTTAATTTTAACGTAGTTAATAAGGGATTTAGAATTGACCGAGGGCCAGTTATTGTAGTAGAGATATAAATAGCATAACTTTTAAAGTGAAACTTGAGTAAGGACTAGACTGTCATTTTGAAAAGCTTCGGTTAATGAAGGACAAAATTGAAAATTACGCTTGAAATTCCTATAAATTCATGAAAAATAGAATAAATGATATAGAACAGTATTTAAGGCCTAAAGGATGAAAATAGAACAAAATAATTTATTTTAGAATTTTTTATAATTATTGGTATTTTTAGCCAATTAAAAAAATTGACTAAATTGAATTATTTTAATTATATAAAGGTCTCAATAAATCAAGAAAAAATGAGAAAAATTATTTGGGAGTTTATTATAAATTGTAAAATTATTTTTGATCTTTGGAAGTGTAAAGGTTAACTTTCAAAATATTTAATGTCAAATTATCTTAGTAGGAGGCCAATTTTAGAGATATTTGAATAGAGGGAGTTATAGGTTGAATTTTGATCTAAGAAAAATTGGGAAACTTCCTCTTATTAAAAGGAAGTTATTGGTATGAAGAAATAAATTTTTAGAGCCACTAGCTTGGACAGGATTTAAGAAAAATTTAACCGATTTGGTATAGTTATTCAGTGGAATGGCCTAAAATTTCGTGGAGCAATTTTTTCTCCTAATTTTCTACCATTTTTTGTGCCAATTTATGAAGAGACGACATGGTTGAAAATTTTCAAATTTATGAAGGGCATGCTTTAAGGAATGAATCATGTAATAAAATAATGCATTCTTAAACACATGTTCTTCTAGAAGGAAGACACTTCACAAGGCACTTGGCATGATCTTAGGGTATGAAAGACACATGGCATGATCTTGTTTTGGAAGAGTTTGATTTATAATTTTTAATAAGGTTTTTATCACATGATTAGACACTTGTCTTTATCTTGACAAAAACAACATGATCAAGGGACAAGTGGTTTTGAAATTTCCAAGTTTATCAAGAGCAAAACTTTGCCTATAAATACCCCCTTCTATAGCATAAAATTTGGCCAAATAGAGGAATCTAAAGGGAGAATGTTTTGCTCTTAAATTTAAGAGAGAGAGAAAAAGAGAAAAGGAAGAAGAGAAAGAGCAAGGGAGATTAGCCAAGCTTAAACAAGCAATCAAGGGATGTTTAAGCTTTCATTAAGGGCTTAATTACATTGATTAGTGGTTGATTAGAATTTAATCTCATTGGAATTTGGTGACTAAAACCCTAAGGAATTATGTTACCTTAATTGTTATATTGTTTGATAGGCATGATTAGAGAATGGCTCAAGGATTAGAAGATGGAAAATGGTTGGAAACATGTGGTATTGCATGAATTATGAAAGAATGCCAAGCTACTATGATTGATCATACCATTCACCCAAATCAAGAACTAGGAGAAGGAATTAAATTTTGATAAATCTAAGTTCAAATATGAATTCTACATGAAAAATCATGTGGGAAAGGCATATAAAGGTTAGGTTAAAAAAGATAGAACAAAAACCCTAAAACCAAAGATAAGGATTAGGATTTATGTTAGATTAAGGCATTGATGTTATTTAAGTTGAGACTTAGAATGCCTTTGTTTTGTGATTGATAGGCATTGCTCTAAGGCCAAAGTTTACAAATGAATCTAGATGCCTGCAGAGGCTCTAAAAACCTCATATGGCGTAGATTTTAAAAAGAGAAGCGCTTTTGAAAACAAAAGAAAGAACACTCAAAAGTAATTCAACATAAAACTCAGGTTAAATATAATAGATAGGAATGAAAATTCATACTTGATGCTCCACTTATCAATTGGCTAAAAAAAGAATACACTATATAATAAGCCAATAATAAAAAAAACTATATACACATATTACAAAAACGACATGGACAAAGATAAGATAAATAAAATAAAAATAAAAAAAAGAAGAAAGTAGATATCAAAGTGAGTACATATGGGAGATAATAGATAAGGGCATATTTCGAATAAATCAAAGAGAAGGAGAGTAGTGACAATTACCTAAAATCATGCTTGATTCAACACTCTAACCATTATTGTTCAACCCCACAAATGTGATAACAATCACAAAAGCATAGTCTTTTCTTGGGTAGAAGAAAGAAGAAGATGAACAAAGGACTTTTCTCTAGTTAGGCCTCATCTCTTTTTTCCCAACCCAACTCATTGACATACATATAAGTATTTCAAATAGATAATGTAATATATGCTATCATAATTGAGTAATTTACTTAGCTTTCTTAATATTTTTAAGTTAGTTAATTAAATTTTATATTAAGAAATGAAGACTAGTACTAAGGAAGCATATGTTGAAATTTTGAAACGCGAAACAGAGAAACCAAAAAGGCAATGTCCCCAGTTTTGATTAAAAACTCGTCAAAAACTATAGGTGTTGTTGAATCATGCGAAATTCAGGCCCTTGTTTGCCAATAAAGTAGAATAGGATAGACCTCAGTGATGCCACTACGGGTCATTTTGACTAGTAGTAATCTTTTTCGATTTGTTCCTCTTTCAAGCTTAGCTTGCTTTGTTATTATTTAAAAAAAAAGAAAGATAGACAACACACGCATAACCAAAAAGAGAGTAAATTTTTATACTTCCTTCGATTGGTCTCAAACATACAAACGAATTAAGAAATTGGCTTTGGTTAAAATTTTAATTCATTTTATCTTTTAAATTTATATTTTTTCCCTAAAAGATTCCTATAACATCAAACTCACAAGATTAAACGATATTTTGACAATGACATAAAATCTGATCGTAAACTTGTTACCGTTTATCAGCTTACATTTATTAATAAATAGTTATTGAAAGTATATGACTGAATGACTGAAATATCAAAAATCATGATAATTTGGTTTAAATATACTTCAAATTCAAGTCATTGAAGTTTTTTTTTTTAATAAAAATCGATTATATCGTAAAGTGAAAAATGAAATATTTAAAATGCAAGCTTAATAGGAGGTCAATGGAAAGATTCATTTTAAAAGTAAAGCAATATTATGAGAAACTGTGAAATCATCAAAATTAAATCCATCAATATTCATAATTTATCATACTCAACATAGAAATTTTTATGAAATTTAAAGATTGTATTACTATTAGCTTTTGTCTTCTTAATTTTCAGTTTTTATTTTTTGGGGCGAGCCTTTCTACACATTTTATAAATCAAGTTTTACTTTCCATATGTTTGACTCGCTCAACTCATAAAAAAGTAAACTCAGAAAGTTAATTTAAGAGCTTTTGCGAGTTTATATACTATAGCTACATGAGTTTAAGAGTAAACTAACATAATTTTATAAAGTAAAAATATAAGAGTAAGTTGACATAATTTTATAAAGTAAAAGCATAAAAATATTACACTCAAAGAGTCAAATCACAAGTTTAACAATAATGATTGTACATATAAGAGGAGTTTTTATTAATGACGCAGTCTCGAATGGAAATGATTAGATGAAGTATTTTTAAAAAAAAATCAAATACACAATTTTTTTAATAATAACTAATTTAAATAATTTTATTAATATTTATAAATTAGTTATCTAGTTTCAACATTTAACACTAGTGGTAAGTATTGAGAAATGTTTCTCTTCCATCTTCTAAATAATAAGGATGCAATAAATATTATATCTCTCAATCTTTTAATCAAGAAAGAATTTTCCCACTGAAATCTACCAAACAATTATTTATTGA